CTGCCTCCTTTCCTGCATAAATGCCGGGTCGGCAAGGTGCGGGGCTACCTTTCGCAGCCGTCAGAGAACCAGCTGAAGAGAGTGAAGTGCTTTGTTGCCGATATGGTCGGTGCGACGGCTCCGTGGGGGGCCCCAGATGCCGCCTTTTCGACTCGAGCTCGACACTGTTGCTCCAGGTCCACAAGGCGACGGAGGCGAAGGAGTCCTCTGTAAAATCTTACATCATCAAGAAAATGACATGCACTCCTGGCGCCCAGGCAGACGAGGGAACTGCTGGGAAGCCGTCCAGGGTGGACAACATGAAAAAGGCGATCTCATAACGTCCTTAGTTGTTTCGCTGGAGCGCGGCATCCGCTGGCTTCCAGCGCCTCTCATTGGACCCGCAGCGGTTCGACGCTATCGCGGCGTCACATGGCAGGCCCCGTTATGCTGAATACCCCGTTGTATTCGACTTGGTGCACTGGTTGCGTGATGCGACGGCATGCGAGCCCAACTTCGCAGAGTTGACCGTGCAGTCGAACAACAAGCTGATGTACCCCGTGGTTTCCCACGCAGATGAGCGATGACGTCGCCGAGGGCACGTGCGACGAAGTCGTTCGCGACCCGATGGCGCTCCAGAACTACATGGGCAACCTCGGAAACTCCCATCACGAGATGGAGGAGAGAGCGACGCCGTGGAAGTATTTGTCGTACTTGCGGACCCGCGGCAGGGATGGCGAACGCTTTCCAGGTGGGAAGGTGCCCGAGGTGACGTACGTTCAGCGCGCGGGGCGCATGCTCGCGGTCGGCCCATCCCATCAGGGGCTATCCAACAAGGCGCGCGCCGTGGCTGGCGGCAAACAGACATTCGACGTCGACTTCGCGAGCTCCGTCTTGTCCGTCATCAAGGCGGTCGCCGACGCGAGCGAGGTGTCCGCGCCCGAGCAGATCGTGAAGATGGCAACCGGCCCCGACGGGTACAAGGACCTCCTGGCCGACTACTACAACTACAGCATGGACGGGAAAGAGGTGAAAAAGACGATCTACAAGACTGTGTTCGGCGCCAAGCCGCGGGGCGGCTACCCCCTCCTCTGGGCTGTTGCAGCGGAGTCGCACCAGCTCTCGGCCGAGCTCATCGATCTCCCCAGGTACTCTCGCCAGCATGTACAACAACCGCCCGAACGCAGCAGCGTCTCGCCTGGCGGCAGCGTGCTTCACAGAGGAGAACAAATACTTGCAGCGCCTGGTTGAGACCTTTCAGTCGCACTTGCAGTCGTACAACGTATCGGTGCTAATGTTCGACGGCATGGTGTCCAACCTGATCGGCGACTCCGTGGGGCAGCTGACGCAGGCCCTGGGCACTTTCAACGCGTCGTCGCCTGTGAAGGCGCGAGTGAAGCAGTGGCCCGCGTCGTTCGGCGCGCTATGTCGAGGGGTGATGTTTCTCGGCATGGCCGGTGTTCGGCTGCCAGTGAGGACTCGCATTGTCTCATTGCGGGCGGCGCCTCCGCGAGCGTAGAAAGCGAACCACTAGAAGCAATTCCAGTGCCAATGGACAACATTATCTGCGCGATTTGTTTCAGCTGACCCGAACGACGTTTTTGGGGGGGGGGGGGGGGGGGGGGGGGGGGGGGGGGATTTCCAGGCGAGCTCGTGCAGCGAACGGGCGGCAACTGAAAACAAAAAACGCGCATTCTTTCATAGATCCCCCTCTCTCTCGCTCTGTTTCGCCCCGCGCGCAGTTCCCGCTGATCGGCCAGTGTCGCGTTCGCCATTGCCGCCTTCTCCCGAGTAAGTCACTGGCTTAGTGATCGGCCGCGCCTGCGGGCGCATCACTCACTTCGGCAATGAGCGCGCCTGGCCCCGCCATGGCTTACCCAGTGCCCGTCGCGAGCGCGTCTGGCATGCAGCGCCGCGTGCGCGGGCGCATCGCCTTCCTCGTCTCTGCGGGGCGCCGAAGCAGGGGGTGCTCGCGTAGGCCCGTGTGCGCGCGAGCGGGCGCATGCATTCCTCCCTCCTCCCTCCCCCAGAAGGCTCAGAAGCTCCAGGCGTTCCACTTTGCCCTGGGTGCATGCTGAACATGCGCCGCGTGGGGGACCACTGGCCGCTTAGCCAGAGACTTGGGATAGGCAACGAAGTCGGATGCGGAAGTGCACGTCGGCCACGCCGTGTGCTTGCATTGCCCAGCGTGCATTTCCATTGACATGGGCTGTCTATGCAAACGCTTTGAACAAATCCCCAGGAAGCTACGTCACTCTGTTGCAGATCCTGGACATCATGGGCGCAGAGGACGAGCTGGGCATGCATGGGGTCCTTGTCGACGAGGGCGATATCGAATGGCACCCCAGCCAGGGGCTGGACGTCGAGTGCGATCAGCACATGGACGTCGAGGATGTTGAAATGCAGGATGCCGACGACTACGAGATCGAAGACATTGACGAAGACGCGCCCGGCTCCACCTCATCCACAGAAGCGCCTCGGAGCATGGGCTTGCCCCTGTCCGAGTGCCTCAGCATCGCTGATTCTGACGCGGTCCCCGACGAGGATTGCGGCGGCTCCGATGACGATGACCCAGCCCTGAGCTCGCGCGCCCTGAGGCACGGAGATGAGTATTTCGGCCCCAGGGTCGCTCATGCAAACTTCGCCATGCTCCATTGCCGCAGATGATGCGGTTGCCCCAGTACCCCAGCTTGGGAACGAGAACCCCCGTGAGAAAGCCACGCCACAGCAATCGTCGTCTTCGTCGTTGTCGCCGCCGCCATCGCCATCGCCATCGGAATCGTCGTCGCCGTCTGTTCGCCATCGTCGTCGCTTGCCGCCGCATCGTCTCGAGGCAGGGCTTCCTCGGAACGTTCTGCGCCTGAGGTCGTGGCCAATGGGGCGGCTTGCGCGCGCCAGGCCTCGTCGGCGCCCCCCCGCCCACGTTGCCATTCAATCGATGGCAGCGGGCCGTCCGCGAGGAGTGGTTCGACACTCAGACTGCCTTCCTCGCCAACGTTGTCTACGCCATGGTTGACTTTCCCGAGGCGCTGACGGGCGCCGTGGAGGCGCGGGCCATGGGCAGTTTTGCGCACTACGGCTTGGTCGATGTCTGGAAGAAGTGCCCCGTGCGCGACGCCCCCGCGGCGCTGGAGGAAGGCTGGCGCTCCGACAACGGCAGGGTTCGCTTCAAGTGGGCGTGCTCGTCCCATGGCCACAAGCACTACCACGTGGCAGTCGTCGGTGTTTGCCTGCTCAAGAAAGTGGAAGTGGGGTCGTGGGTGACGTTTCTGAACTTCATCGCGCTTCTGTGCGCTGGCGCCCCCCTGCATGCGACGCACGCGGAGCTGCGGGCCGCTTGGGGCAATTGCAGTGACAAGAACTTTCGCAGTTGGAAGGACATGCACCAGGGGGAGCTGAAGAAGGCCGGCGAGAAGTTAGACTTGATGAAGATCGGCGGCCCGAACCACGTGGTCGTCATGGGCGAGGCGGTCGTGGGCGTCCACCCCGACGACGGCTTCGAGTTTTTTCACCCGCGAGGGAATTCGCAAAGGGGCTTCCCGGGTCCGTTCTGGCACGCGGTCGCGGCCCACGGTCCGCGCGCGCATTGCCAAGACGCCCCCCCCCCCCGGTCTATCAGGAAGGGCGGCGAGCCGATGAAGAGCGCGGGGGTAATCAGGAGCAAGAGGGACGTCGTCAAGAGACGCCCCGCTGCCATGAAAGTGAAGAAGGCGATCATGAAACGGCCGGCCGCGCGCAGGGGAGTGCGGGGCACGAGCGCAGATCCCCGCTCCAACGGCCGCTGGTTGCGGGCAGCAGCTTCCGTCGGCAAGGGGGCGGAGAAGTCGACGCGCGGCAGCGGGAAGAAGCGCTTCGCGTGGCGATTCCTCCCATCCCGCTACAAACGCGGAGAGGAGCAAGCCTCGCGGCTTCGAGGAGGTCCGCAAGACCATCGAGCAGCACGTTGCGATGAAAATCATCTTGGTTTTCGATGGATGGCCTAGCTCGCTGGCGGCTGCCGAGGACTTGGGTTTCAGACACGCGCCCCCCGCGGTCCACGAGGTCGGGTGGCGCGACGTGGAGGCGGGGTGGCACTCCAATGACATTGAGAGCGAGAACAACCGCTTGAAGATTTGGTCGCGCGTCCGATACGGCGTCCTCAGAATCTCCGGGCCAGGGTTAGCCGTGGCAGGCGGGGGCTTGGGCCGCGCGCGAGTGATTTGATTAGGCGTCGACAGGTCATTCTCTGGCGGGGGGGCGCCTGAGTCGCTCGCGCTTGCTCTGACTGAGCGCGCGGCCATCTGAAGACCACGCGCGCGGAAGTTTTGCTTTGCATGGTAGATGCTCATTCAGATGGGGAGATGGGCTTGCGTGTAGACACGCGCGCATGCTTATAGATTTTTATGAACATACTTATACAGATGCACTACGCGAGGGGGCTTTACATTTTAAGTGATTCGTTCAGATGATGACGTTGACACTAAAGCAGGGGCGCCGAGATGCCAACGCCCCCTATGTATATATATATAGAGAGAGAGAAAGAGAGAGAGAGAGAGAGAGAGATGAACGGAACGAAGGGGAGAGAGAGGGATATATACACATAAAGAAAACACGCAGTGGCGGAGAAAGAGAGAGAGATACCATAACAACGATAAGGCGACAAAGAGAAAGAAAGAGAAAGAGGGAGAGACAGAGACAGAGAGACACCAATAGGAAGAGAAACGTATAGAGAGGACGAGAGAGGAGCAGAGGCCTGGGAGAAGAGGGGGAGAAGGAGGCAGAGGTGGAGGAGAGCCGGGGAGGGTGGGACGGCAAAGGCCAGACGATAATGGAGGAGGAGGAGGAGTAGGAAGACGGGCAGGAGGAGGAGGAGGAGGAAAACGGGCAGGAGGAGGACGAGGAGGAGGAGGAGGAGGAGGAGGAGGAGGAGGAGGAGGAGGAGGAGGAGGAGGAGGAGGAGGAGGAGGGGGAGGAGGAGGAGAGGAGGAGGAGGAGGAGGAGGAGGAGGAGGAGGAGGAGGGGGACGCAGTGCAATCCCCGAGGACGCGGCCAGCCTCTTCAGTGACTTCACAAAGGCCCGGGCCCACCAAACGCCGGGGGCGGCGCCGACGCCCCCCCCCGCTTGGGGGGGGGCAGAGGACGCAGTGAGAAGGCGAGGAAGAGCGGGGGGAGGCAGAGGCAGGGCAGGGAGGCATGTGATCGTTTTTGTTGATTCATTGTTTTGCCGATCGGCGCGGGCCCCCAATCCCCCCCCCTCCCCCCCCCATGAAGTAGTTATTGGGTGTTTTGGGCGCCTGTTCCGAGCAGGTGGGGTCCCCCCTCATAGGACCCATTGTTGCAAACAGTCGAGCTAAGCAGAGGTCCGCAGCCAGACCCCCCCCCTTCCGCCCAATGTCGGGTATGGCCAGGACCCCGGTTAATGGGAGCCGTCTAGCGATGGGGCCCCGGAGCCCGAACTATGGACTGGAATCGCTAAACCAGGTCTGCCCCAGCTGGTGCTTGTCGGGTGACGGCAGTTCCGGTTCGTGGAGTGGGGCGGGGGGGAGCGCTCCCCAGTGCGCACCACCAAACCAGGCCACGCGAAACCCCGTCCTGCCAACGCCCGGCAGTGTCGAAACGCCGAACTCGGGGGCCAATGGCGAACCCTGCCTCAAAGCGTGAATTACCTACCCCGCTTTCGCTTCCAGACACAACCAAATCATACCACGCGCCTCCTGGTCAAGCGACCTGCCTGGTGCGGGCCTTAGCCTGGTATCTTTGGGTAACTTTTGGAAGCGATGGTGATTTCCGAGGGGGAGGGTGGGTAGGGTAGGGGGGGTAGGGGTAGGGGTTCGCGTGCAGCCCCCCTACGGATAACACACAACGCTCACCAGGGGCCGGGCGGGGCCAGGACACGAAAACAGACATCCGTGGAAGGGCGCTGCGGGGCGCTCTCGGGACGTGCCGGGAAACGCCCGGGGAAAGGCCGCGGCGCGCCCGAAGGGCACACATCCTCTGGAGCCGCCGGATATCTGCCAGGAGAGGAGAAAACACACAGACACAATTAATCTTCGATTCCAAAGAAAATATGGGAAAATATGGGAAGTGGGGGGGGAGACAGAAACCCAGAAAATATTAGAAAATATGGAGAATCTTTTTATTTGTGTGTATTTATTTGTGTGTCCTGGGGGCCCCTTCAACATCCTCTGGAGCCGCCGGATATCTCAGAGGTGCTCGAGGTGCCCCCTCCCGATTTGTTATCCTCGTCCGGGCCTCGTCTCCATGTGGGCGGGAGGAGGGAGGGAAAGGGAGGGAGTCGGGGGCGGCAAAGAGGGGGGTGATGACTAGGGGGGGGCGGATATCATGGCGGGGGCCATGATATTTCCTCAGATGTCATGGCGCCTCTCCTTATTCCATTACGTCCCTGCCCCCCCCCGCTGGGCCGCGCACATGCCGCGGGTCATGATTTGCACCCCCCCTCTTGGACACCCCCCTCTTGGCCGCTCCCGAGGGAGGGGGTGGGAGGTGGGCGGGAGAGGTCGGGGAGGGAAGGGGAGGGACAGGGAGGGCGCAAGCGGAGGGAGGTGGGACGGGGAGAGGGAGGGACGCCATGCCCTTCACCTGCAAAACAGGCGTGAGCAAACACGGCGACAGCATGGGGCAGGCTCACGGCCCGTAAGTTTAGAAGTCGGGCCTGTCCCTCCACAGGAGGAGTGTTGAAACAAAGTCGAAACAAACTATGCTCGAGTAGTTTTGAAAGTATTTGGGCTAGTTTCATTTTTCTTCCCAAATCCCCCTGTAGGGGGACATGCCCGATCTAACCCTAAGTCAATGAGCAGCTTGGGGCACGCTGCACGGGAACGGTGCAGCTAGAACGGTGCAGCTACAAGTAGGCACCGACGGCCAAAAAGGCTTGGTCCACAAATATCCTGCAACGTACAACCGCGGACTTTGGAACATACCTCCGGCGCAGGGGAATGACGGTGCGGCGAAAAGCGCGAGAGTTGTCCAGGAGTCCGCAGCAGCGACAGAGCTGAGCGGCAGGGGGCCATGGAGGAGCCCGCAACCGCCCGAGGTCGAAGGGGGGCGACCCACGAAACGAGGGAGCCGGCCAAGACGAGGAGCCGGCCGCCCCAGGGCAGAGCGTTTGCCCGCTGCAGGGCGGAGCGCAGCACGCAGCGACGCAGGGCACTCCTGGACTGTACAGTGCCGTTTTTAATACATGCTCCGCGTGCGGATCATGTATAAAAAAGGCAGGGACTCAGTATTAAAAACGACGATTAGTTCCTGCATACATGTATTCCTAAATTACTCATGTATTAAAACTCCTATACTTTGTAACATTTTTCTGTATAAAAAACTGCCCCATACGGAACAGGGAGTGCACTGGGCGTGCGGGATCCGCCCGCGCGGGGAGGCCGAAGGGGGGGGGCGACCCACCACAGGGGGGGGCGAGCGAGCCGCCGCCATCGCCGAGGCCTGGGAAGACCTACAGTAGGTTTGAGTCGGGCCTGTCCCTCTACAGGAGGGATATCCCAAAATAGTATAACAATAGTCTGGGGGCGATTTTTTACGTATTTTAGAGTAGTTGTTTTGATTATTTTTGAGTTTCTTTTCCCATTTTTTCGTCCACCATCCGCTTGTAGGGGGACATGCCCGACCTGATGGTAGGTCCGCGTCGTTTAGACCGGCGGCGACCCCGCCGCCGGCGGTCAACGCGGACCGCCGCCAGCGACCCATAATCGGTCGATGCTGAACGAGCTGACGTTTCGGAAACGCCCGATCGTTCAAGGTTGAACGAGCCACGCGGTGTCAGAAACCGTCGCTGGGGTCGACACGACCTGTAACCTGCCGTACAGTCGGGGCCCTGAAGAAGGAACCCTTTTCGTTGGGGAGGGGCCCCGCGTTCCTTAAGTGTTTCACAGCTTGTCTCAGGCTTTCCTTATGTTTTCAACAGGAAATTGAAGGTTAACTTATGGAAAAAAGGGGCCTCGTTCCTTATTTAGGGTTCCTTAGGTCAACGCCCCGACTGTACACGCCATTAGTAGGCACGCAAAAAGAGCCCCACGCGATGACAGAGCTGCACAGGGAGCGGCCGGCACGCGGGAGCAGGAGGCCCGCAGCCAGGGCGGCGATGGGGGGCGGCCCACGGGAAGAGGACGGGGACCATCAAGCGGGACAGCACACGACCAGGCCTACGCGAGCCGGACGAAAGGGGGGGATTGGGAAAGGGGGGGGGTACGAAATTTGCTGCATGCAGCTGGTTTCGGCCTCACCGAGGGGCCCATTCCTCGATACATAGCCGCCTCAGGCGCCGGGAGGCGCCGAAAAAATCAGCTACGTGAGCTGATTCTCACCCCCCCCCTTTGCTATCCCCCCCTTTCGCCCGACCCGACCTACGCGAGCCAAGGCGCCTTATCATTCCCTGCCCCGGGCCTCGGGAAGGGCGTCGGGGCAGGCGCCGGAACGCCGAGAGGACCGCTCTGCCCACATTTCCCGCTCACCAGGCACTGCGGACTGGATCCAGCACGCTCTGCGAACGAAGCTCTCGCCTGCCCTGCAGAGGTGGCCGCCCCGGCCGGCGCGCCCGTCACGGGCACGACCCTCGCCGTGCAGTGAGCAGAGGCCGTGCAGTGAGAAGAGGCGGTCACTGCTGCGCGCCGTCGGCCAGGAGCTGCCCCTGGGCACGGCCGGCGCGCTGAGGGGGCGCACGGAAGAGAAGGTCGTCCTCGCAGGCCTGGCCTGTTTGGCGCGGCGGGTTCTTGTACAAGGCGTTCCTTTGCAAGCACATCGTCTTCGGCACCGCCTGATTCCGGGGCTTTGCCCCTTCCTGGCCTTGACGTGAGGCCCCTCCTTCTGCCTTCCCCCTCTGTCAATTAAAGCTGTGCGCGGCCCGCTTAGGTTCGACCGGAAGAGGTGCGCTCTCGACCCGCGGATCAAAAAAAAGTGTGGCGCGACGCCTTGCCGGGCTGCGCGCTCGAGCGGGCCGCCAGCGGAGGCGGCGGGCGTGTCTAGGGGCGTCCGGGCGCCGAGTGCCTTTTCGACAGGCAGTCCCGCAGCGCGAGCTTGCAACGTAGGCGATGGGATGGTATCGTGAAGTTGGGCCTGTCCCCCTACGGGGATTTTCGACGAATAATAAAAGACAGTTAAAATTAGCAGAAAATGATCCAAAAATAGTCTGGGGACTCTTTGTTAAGTATTTTTGATTTTTATTTGGGCCTTTTCGGGGTATTTTTAATTTTTCGTCGAACATCCCCCTGTAGGGGGACACGCCCGACATAATGAGATTGCCATCGTGACGCGGAATGACGAGCGCGGGTCAATTGTCTTGGCAATTCTGCGGCAGCCAGTGTCGTTGCGCTCCGTCTGAACCGCGAGCTGGAACGGGGGAGTTGTGCGCGGACGAGACTCGGCTCTGACGGGACTGCGGGGATGGCAGATCGCGCGCGTCGTGGAGGGAGACTTGTCGCGAGCTCTTGGGTCTCGCCTGTGCGGAGCTGGGCGGCGATGTCTCCTCTCGACCTGCGTGACGAACGGGAGGGCGAAAGGGGGCGACCCCTGTGGACAGTCGCGGGAACTCACCGCCCACCACACCACCCCAACCCAACCCGAAGGCCCCGATTTGCCCTCCATTTTCAGTGGGGGGGGGTCGGGGAACATTGAAAAAACACGTGTGGAACCCGTACCCCCCCCCGACCCGAAATTCGGGTCTTCGGGTTGGGGGGTGGCTTGGTAGGTCGTCAGGAGCACTCCCAGCACGAGGCCTGCTGGCGGGCCTTGGGCGTCTTGCGCGCAGCGAGCGCAGTCCTGCCGGCACCGCTGCTGCCCGAGCTTCCTGCGTGCGGGCAGGAGCCTGTACGACTGCATCGCGATCTTCGGCCTGGCCTCGCTGCTCCGGAATGCCGTGCCGCGACCGCCGACTCAGTCAGCACGCCTCTGGACGTGCTTCGCCAGGGCGAGCCCAAGCGATCGGGCTCGCCGCCCCCGCCCTGCAGCCCGAGGCGCCTGGCGCGTCGGCCCGGCCAGGGGGCGGCCTCCAGAGGACGTGGAGGCGGGCCGCACGTCGACGGTCAGGGCGTCGGAGTGGCCACGTCCA